TTTTATTAAAATATACAGGGTGATTTCAAAGTTATAACCCTAAACGTTAATTTCTAGGTACCCCTTTGACCCCCCATAACTCCGTTAGGGGGCACATTAGGAAACAAAATTATAGGAAGGACTAGTTTTATTTTGACCTCCCCTATACACTCCCGAGAGATTAGGAGGTACTTACCGGACACCCTGTATATTTTTGGAGGTTTCGTAAAATATCTGTAATCTCAAAAGTTTCATCAATAATAAAAATATGGCAAAAAAACACAAAAGGCTATTTTAGATGTTTCTAGCAAATTCTGTGTTTTAAATGAAAATTAGGCCGATGTTCATCTTATACCCAAAAATAACTACCTACCAAATTTCATAGAAATATCTTCATAAAAATACTTTGAAAGATTTTTTTTTGAAAAAGCAAAATTGTACCAACAAAATTTTATTCAGTTTACTTTCATTACAAAAATTACTAAACACACACAAATTAGCTTCATGTCATTTATTATAGAATTAAGTAAATCACATAACATTTAACTGAGCAAATATTCAATATGTACGCAAATAATACATACACATATGCCTTATGGGATGATTTCCCAAATTTCGTCTTGTCTGCTCTTGTCGAGTGAATTCGAAACTTGTACGAATTTTGTTGTCCCGAATGCTTTGGATCCATCGACTATAGGCTGAGTATCGATGCAGCTTGGGCTTTTCGGATTCTTGGCGGGTGCTTAGGCTGAGTATTCGAGAGTTTGGTGAAAACGGTCATGTTTACGCGGCTTCTCGGCGGTTTCTGGCTGTCTCTGGCTGTCGTTCGCCACGCCGTTAGTTCTGCTCTCTAATTCATTAGAAGGTGGGGCGGTTATTGAAAGTTTGATAGGTGCCTCGCATATCAACGATAATTATCGTTTATTAGATTAGGATGTTTGTAAATAAGTGCGAAATATTTTGGGAGTGGTTGCCGAAGTTATTTTGTGAAAAATAGTTCATATAAACGTAGGTCGTAATATGCTTCGTTTCCGAGATACAGTGTATTTTTTATTCATATTTATTGATTATTTCAAAAAGTTTTGAACATCCTGTATCTCGAAATCGAAGAATTTTTTACCCACATTCATATCAACTTTTTATTTTCAATGTTGAATTTTTTTCTTTGACCACATTTTATTAAAAGAGACCCTTAAATAAAAGATTAACAAAATCTACAATAAAATATGTTTTATTTTTTCCTCAAAAATAATGCATCATACGAAAAAATTGGAGAGACCAATTTCATTCAGAATTGATGGCGGATTTCTAAAAAAAAATATTACAACGGGAAAAGATGTGGCATTCTCGCACGAACGCCAATGGTGCAAGTAGAAATATCACCCCAAAGAATGCCCATTTATCCCTCTAAAGCGTGTTTCAAATTTCGAGTCAATATCTTTAAAACCCTTTGAAATAATAAAATAATATATAATATATAATAAAAATAAATAAAAAATTAAAATTTAAACACTGTATCTCGGATACGAAGCATATTTCGACCTACGTTTATTTGAACTTTTTTTCACAAAATAACTTCGGCAACCACTCCCTAAAATAATTCGCAATTATTTACTAACATTCTGTATAATATGTTGAAGAAAAAGTCATAAATTCAGGGCTGGTGCAGAAATAAAATAATTTTTTCCACGAGATACAGTGCGATAAAGATGATTTTTTTAAACAAAAAATTGACCACATCTTTTTCAAAAAGCATACAGTTAACTTTTTGAACTACGTTAGTGTTAATATGTAATTGTTGTCAACCTTGTAGAAGGCGCAATTTTCAATCTTTTTTAACGATATTTTATAATCTATTTCTTTTTGATTAGATTTTCTGCATTTACAATGTAAAACTAAATTTTAACAAAACAGTACTGTTTTTAAAATGGTAAAAACGCAATTTAAATAAACTTTATTGCGAGCTTTAAAACATTTTTCAAAACAAAATATGACATGCCTATGGTCCAAATAAAAAAATCGTTTGATTATTTTATGTTCCACCACCTCTGCATATCCTCTCAAAATTCTTTGTACATATATCCTTTATAGGCTATTGATTACGTCTTAAGAAGCAGAGTACTAAGGAACTACAACGTTGATGGGTTTTTATTGCATGAATCGTTTAAGTGGTTATTCAGAAAGAAAAAACCGCGGAGTGCTATTAAATTAGAGGGTGGAAATTGGAGATAAGGGTGAAAATGCAACCCTTACGGTTTTTTTAGTATATCTCGAAAACGAAGCAAAATTTGAGGGTATTGCATAGGAAAAATTTAGTAGATGAGATTTTCTATCGAAATAGCTTATTTAAAAAATTTATAAAATTTATTTACTGCAAAATATTAGGTATATATAAAAATATATTAAAAACAATTTAACAAAAAAATGCAATAAATTCAATTTTTTTTTTACTTTTATGCAAATAACTTTTTTCTGAGCAGAGATAGGTATAGGCATAGAAAAAAAAAGTATATAAAATTTCCTACAAAATGATGGGTTATAAAAGTTTTTCCTATGAAAATAGACTGAGTTATGGTCGTTTAACTTTGCCTTTTTTCGTTTTTTACTGAATTTATGACAATATGATTTGATACTTTATTTTGAATATGCAATTGATTTTTAATCAATAGACATGTTAAATTAATTTATCAATAATAAATAAATGTTATACGAACGTGTATAGTTTTTATTTTTTTTAGGTAACAAATTAACAAATATTAATTTATAAAAATTTCTATTTGTTCAACTAAAATATACGTATTCTCAAATGTGACAATGCTCAACTAACAGAGGTATCAGAAGACGATGTTCTTCAAGCAGTCGACGAAGAAATTGATATGCAGTTTGATAATATTATTGAAGAAATATGATAATTAAAATTATGAAATGTAAAAAATTTAATTTAAGTTTAATAAAATGTTTTTTACATAAACTAATTTTATTATTTAAAATCTTTGCAAAAAAAGCAATTTTTAAGAAAAAGTAGTTATTAATTTGTTTCATATACCTATATGTATATAAAACCATATAACTAATTTTTATTTATTATTGATAAATTAATTTAACATACGTCTCTATTAAATAAAAATGAATTACGTATTCAAAAATAAGTATTAAAACATTATTGTCATATATTCAGTAAAAACCGAAAAAAGGTAAAGTTTGACCGACCATAACTCAGTCTATTTTCATCGAAAAAACTTTTATAACCCATAATTTTGTAGGAAATTTTATATACTTTTTTTTCTAAATAAAAACAAAAAATTGATTTTTTTGCATTTTTTTGTTAAATTGTTTTTAATATAATTTGCAGTAAATAAATTTTTTAAATTTCTTAAATAAGCTATTTCGATAGAAAATCTCATTATCTACAAAATTTTTCCTATGCAATACCCTCAAATTTTGCTTCGTTTTCGAGATATACTCAAAAAACCATAAGGATTGCATTTTCACTCTTATCTCCAATCTCCACCCTCTAATTTAATAGCACTCCGCGGTTTTTTCATTCTAAATAACCATTTGAACGATTCATGCAATAAAAACCCATCAACGTTGTAGTTCGATATCATATGACATAATCAATAGCCCATTAATAAAATTCTTACATACAGGGAGTACCGAAATTAATGCAACAAAATTTGATCACAGATTCTTAAGACAAATTTAGGGAACCCTTATTTCTTATTTTTGCCAAGTGGGTCCGTCTTTCGGAGTTACAGCTCCTTGAAATCCGCCCCTAAGGATAATCTTTTTCTTTATATTTCGGAACCCTGTTGTATGAGAATCACTGAATTTAGTACACAGGGGTTTCATGACATGTGGAATCTGGTGGTGCTACGCTTTTTTTTTTGGGGGGGGGGGGAACCCCCTTAAGACAATTTTTCGTGGGCCCCCTTATCTTTGGAGCCAAAAAAATTTGGTCGTATATTTAAATTTCTTAAAAATTATTAGTCAGCTAGAAAGCCATTTTTAGAAACTTTTTTGTTACTTTTTTCGTAAAACGCAATATTTTCTAGAAAGTGTCAAAATGTGATCGAATGCATATCGTGATTCGCCACTTTCCTCAAAAACATTGCGTTTTACGAAAACAGGATCATGAAACAAAAATGTTTCTAAATTCAATGGCTTTCTAGCTAACTCGTAATTTTTAATAAATTCAAATTTGCGAGCAAATTTTTTGGTTCCAAAGACAAGGGGGCCAACGAAAAAGTATCTTAAGGGGGTTCCTCTCTAAAAAGCGTAGCACTATCAAATTCCACATGTCATAAAACTAAAAAACAAAAATAAAAAATACGGCTCCCCTAAATTTGTCTTAAGAATTTTGTTGCATTAATTTCGGGACACCCTGTATTTAGACCAGTAAAAATATTGTCACTGTATTACACGCTATAGGAAAAAGAAATGATGAAATATTTTTCTGTATTTTCCTGTTTTATTATCATTATGTATTTTAACTACTTTCGTGAATTATTTTAAACTCCGTATTTGTCATATGACAGGCATGCTTGCTTAATACGGCGTCTTATTGATTAATAGCGTCTAATATAATGTTATATGTTACAATATATCTATAGAGAATGACAGATCAACAAGGCCCCAGTTCAATCCGCCGAGTCGGAAAGGGATCGATAGGGCCACGATAACACAGCTAAAAACCCTGTTGCCTAGACGCCGACTGTACAGGGAAGCTGCGAATGTACCTTGAACATCCCGAACAGCTTGTCGCCGCCAAGATGGAAATCGTGCAGGATTAATTCCCTCTTAAAACGTCACTAAAAATGATTAAAACGGTAAGCAGCCGTCCCTTTTCGTAATTCACGTTTAAACGTTCATGTGTGGTGAGGTGTGTGTCATTCCCTGACCGAAAAAAGGAAAGTATTGTAAGTGGTATCGATTTTCGGTAAACATTATTTTACAAAACGGTCCATCTTGGCGGTGTTCAGTTCCGTGTAACAGTTGTTTTCCCTTCCAAAAAAATTAAAATGAACCGTTTGGGGCAAATCCGGTTGCCCCCCTTGTCAGCCGCCGTTAACGTGGCTAGTCAGATTCGTCGGCAGATGATTCCCAATAGACCGGAGGAGCCTCAACGTATCGCAGGTGAGAGGGTGCACTTTGCCCAATTGCCCGACCAAAACCATACCACCCATGGGACGGTGGATGAACACCACGAGATGAGCAATATGAAGACTACTAATCCTTTCCTGAACATGGAGCAAAACAATTATCAGAATCAAGCCGAAGACAGTTTCAATGAAGGGTATCAAAGGCAACAGAGTAGGATGTCATCTGTTGACTTTTCAGAAGGGTCTGATTTCGTCGAGGGAAAGAGCGATGTTAAAATAAACGAATATCAGGCGGCATGGAACGTTACTAACGCCATTCAGGTAATATTTCAATAAAATGTTATTATTTTGTCTTCAGACAGTTGCTAACATTGTCACATTAGCTTTTTATTTTAGAAGTAATATAAAGTCTGGAAGAAGCTGTTTTTTTTCTTTAAATTCTATTGACTTTGTTAAATCTTCCAGTAAATAAACACTGTTTACGTTTCAAGCTTGATACTATTTTTTGGTTATTTATTAGTTTCTCCATGTACATTTTCTGTTGATATAAAATTATTTCGAATTTTTCTCTCGTCTGTTTTTAATTAATGTAATGATTTTACTCTGAATTACTCTGATTAATCTAATTTAATCTCTCTGATTTTTCTGATCTTTCTCTTATCTGTCTGATCTCTGATCTCTCACTGATTTCTTATCTCTGATTTTACACTGAACAGGAATAATAATTAAAATAAATAACTCGTTGCGTCAAAAAGGACTGATTTTATAAATTTAATTTTGCATAATCTGGAACATCTCAGAAACTGAGAAATTATATTAATTATAATAATAATTCTTCACATTCGCAACAACACAATAATCTCATTACATAGTTAACGTTTTGAAACATTCTGTGTCTTCGTTGTCAAAACTATCATTATAAAATTAACTTACAATTAGTGTAATTGTGAAAAACTACTGTACTCTCTCAGCGTGAGATATGAATGATGGTTAATTAAGCACACTAAATTTATAAAATCAACTCTGTGATTGCTCCTTTTTGGCCTAAGAAATTTTGACAGCAGAAAGACCCAATGAAATAAAAAGAGTAAACGAAAATGTCACAAATAAAATAAATATAAGCAATATTTTAATTATTTTATCTAATAATACTTATACCAACAAAAATATGGATTAATAATACATGAAGGAATTTACGGCGAATATAAAGAAAAACTTGAAATATATGCAGTTTTTATATACAGTTATTTATATAATTTGGAATGTTATTCAAGATAAACAGTTTATAATGTTTTACTTTTATAATATACTTATATCAAAACATTGTCATTGAATTTTAGGAATTAATTTTGTATATACAAACCTTTTTATAAGCCTGATATAGTAAAAATATTAGTAGGAGTAAGGCTTTTAGAAGAAAATGGTTGACTATGCTGTTTGTACTTGTATTATAAAATATTTTGAATACCATAGAAAGGTTAAAGGTTATTTATAAGATTACGGAAAAAGAATAAACGAGGGGGAAACCGTTGACTAAAATTTGTAGTCAAATATTAATTTTTATAATTAATTACTCAAATAGATAAAGGTATAAGAGAAACACACATCTAAAACTGTGAAAAACCGACCTTGAAAGAAAAGGGACTATTTTTATATTTTCTAAAATTTACCAATTATAAAAATACTATGACTATTTCTCTAAACTAACCTACTAGGCAAGCTTACAAAAATCCAATACAATTTTTTAGTGAAACAGTATTACATTAATAGAACTAAGCTGCATCTTAAAAACAGAAAATGATATTAACATTTTTTAATACCTATTCTATTATATTTTACCTTCAAAGTTTTCTTGTTTTTATATAGATAAAACAGCGGAGCAGTTACAGATTATGTGTTAAGTGTTAAATCAATAAAAAAATAGTATAGAATATATATGGTTTAGAAAAAGGTATAACAAATCCAGAGGTTCATGGAACATCAACAAATAAAATAAAAAATAAAATAAAATAAACTTTATTTTCCTTGAAGACAGACATTGTATAGGAATTGTCACATTTTTTTTATACCTACTTAAAATAACTTAAAACTATTCATAAAGTATAAAATGTATTTCTTATTAAGTATTTGTGCAACTTCTTAAGAAATATAAAATTATTTGTGTTCTTTATCTCAGAAGGCAATTTGTTAATAACTTTTAAACCTAAATAAAATGGTGAATCACAAAATATTTTGTATTTATAAAAAGGAATGTGAAATTTCTTATTTTGCCTAGTGCTTTTATTATGAATGGTTTCATTAATTTAAAAGTAGACTTATTTCTAAAAATGTATACGGACAACTCGAAGATAAATAAAGACAACAAATATTAAAATTTTTAAAAAAATGTCTACATGAGTGGTTCCGAGGTATTCTAAACATGTGTCTTAAAATACGTTTTTTTGAAATAAAAACGTCTGATGCAAGGGAGGAATTTCCCCAAAAACCAACACCATATCTCAGTCTGGAACTCACATACGCTTGAAAACAGTTATTAATTGTAGAGAAGTTAACACAGGTTTCAGATTTCTTATCAAATAACATGCCGAGTTTAATTTCGATATTAACTGAGCACAATGAGATTTCCAGCTGAGGCATTCGTCAATTGTTACACCCAAAAATTTTATTTCATTTTCATAGCGTAAAATATCACATTCATTTAAAGTTAAACGTAATTTGGCACAATATTTTTGCCTGTTATGGAACCTAATTACTTGAGAAATAGATTTCTTCCATGAATTATGAGCCTATCGCCTTTTGTTTTTGAGATACAGAACTTTAGATATAACTTTTTAAAATCAAATCTTAGCCACATATGTTCTAAAAAACCATATAGTGCATTGAAATTTGATACACATACATTTTTGAGGGTGCTAAATTCAGCTGCTAAAAGTCATTAGCTACTATTATTTTCAGTGGCAATTAATTAGCTTCTATTCTTTAATATATGTTATTCGGAACACACATACTTATGGGTAATTCCATATTTTTTAATGTACAGGATGTCCGAAAACGAATGGGCTATTCTTCAAGAGCCGCCCCCTTCGATGAAAATAAACAGATTTGGATCAAATTATTTTGGTACAATTTTGCTTTTAGATGTATTTTAGCAATATAACGAGCGTTCAAATAAAAACGTGGTCGAAGTTGGCTCTGACACATTGGACGTAGGGAGTAGCTTATAGCGGCCAACTTAACCTCATTTCTCAACGAACTGTATAGCAGCTGTCAGTTTCAATAACGTTAATGACTATATAACTTTATTTTAAAGAATAATCGTGATAACAATAACAAACAATTAAAGGAGAACAAACGCAAATCTTTTTTTAACACTGTGTGGCTGGTACCGACTGATACTCCCACCATTTGTGATAAAACACGTACAGAAGTTCTTGGCGCATTTTCCATTATTTGTTGGACATTTTCTTTTAATTCTTCAGTCTACTTTTTAGGTCGGCCGCTTCCTTCTTTTCTTGTTACACTGCCCGTTTCATGAAAAACATTAACACAACGCTGAACTGCACTTTGAAAAATTTTGTACTCAACAACGCCGGGAAATTGATTTTGAAATTCTATGAAACATTCCTCAATAGAATACTTCCATATTCCATCAATCTTGCGTCCATTTCTAAAGTAGGACTCTATGATAAACACTTTTTGTTCTTGAGAAAACACCATTTTAAACGCTTTTTAAAACGAATTGATATCGGCGATATAGCGCTTTGACAGATGACGTTTAAGTTCATTTGCTATACGCTACGCCCTACGTCCAAATTTTCAGAACCAACTCGACCACGTTTTTATTTGAACGCTCGTTACAATAAGTGTATATTTTTTGTAGTTAATAAAGAAACATTTTATACAATTTCCTCGATTTCTAAAAATACTTAACAACAATAAAATATGACAAAAAAATAAGAGACCGTTGCTTGGCTACTCTAAAATTCCACTGTACCAAAATTAATTTGAGATATATTGTAAAGTCACTGAGTTACCTTAACAATGGAATAAAAAATATTGTTTTGGATGCTGGTAACATTTTAAGGAAACAAAACTGTATTAAAGTAACTTGTTTTAAATCAGTTTATTTTCAGCTAAGTCATTGAAGTATGGTCCAATAGTTTCCGGACACCCTGCATATTAAGAGATAAATGCTGAAGACTTTGACACCTACAACATTTTTCAGCAATATGAACAGTCTTTTTTTTTTAAGTAGAGTTTTACATGATAAATGTATGATGCATTTTAAAGTCCTAAGCAAGATTGTCAAAAACTAGCAATACCCGACCCGCGAAAACTTAACCTGTATCTAATTTCCATACGTTGCACTGTTTTTTGGAAAATTTAAAGCTAAAACTTGATTTTAAAAACATCATCTTTGAAACAAAATACGATATACTCATGATCCAAAGGTACACATTTTATTGTACTGTATGACGAGGAATAGTATATAGAATGATAATATCAAAAAAGTAACTCGAAAGAAGTGAAGCTAAGTTGGCAAATTGCAAATAAGTGGCAAATTTACGTGTATTTTCACTTTTTTAAAATCTAGACAACCTATCGAAAAATTTGTTATTTTATGTTGTAGGCGATTAAATTATCTATAATTAATTTAAGGTATCTAAAGTTATATTTCACCAATTTGTTAACTATAAAATAAAGGTTGAATGCGAAAATCTAAATTGCGAATTATTATTGCAAAAAGCGATGGATGTTGATGAAATTTATGGAAAAAACGGTCAATCCAAAGACCAATTGGTGTACCAAAAGCTGATTGGATTAACCGTGAAATTGTTGCTCCAGGTAGGTATTTGTTAATTAATTTCGTTTGTTTTGTTTTTAATTACTAATCGTTAATTTTATAAGTTAATATCGTAGATATAAGTTCTAATTGATCCAAAGAAACGTATGGAAAAAGAAAAATTTCAAATAGTTGAAATTAAGTAGCACTTTACAACTAACAATAGCGTTATAAACCAATCCCAGGGTCAGGCAAAAGCTGCTCGAGAATTCGCTCTTTTTTGCAATTTTCGAATATTGATTTTTCCCCTTTCGATCTTTATTTTATAGTTAAAAATTAGTGAAAAATTACTTTAGATACCTTAAATTGTACGTAATTTAATTGCCTAGAACATAAAATACCTAATATTCCCATAGGTGGTCTAGATTTTCGTGGGCAGTGAAAATCACTTCTTTCGTATTTTTTTGATATTATCATTCTACCTAGGTACTCTTCCGCCTCATAAAGTGCAATAAAATATCTACAAATAATAAATTTTCAGGTTTTATCATCTAATTCGACTGGAGTAGTAACTTCTTGTAGTTCTATCAACCTCTTTGGGTACCTTTTTCTGAAACACTCTTTACGATTCAGTGCGTAATTCGCTGTTTATATACAAATTTGCAATAAATAATTGAATCTAATTGGATTATTTTTCAGGGAATGTTTATTGTTTCCCTTCCGTTTGCTGTTTTACGTGGGGGATATTGGGCCATAGTAGCGATGGTAGGTATTGCCTATATTTGCTGTTATACTGGCAAAATTCTGGTGGAGTGCCTGTACGAGTTTGACATCCAAACTGGAAAGCAAGTAAGAGTGAGGGATTCCTATGTGGCCATTGCGAAGGAATGTTTTGGTAAAAAATATGGAGCCCGCGTAGTAAATGTGGCACAAATCATCGAATTGCTTATGACTTGCATATTATACGTGGTGGTATGCGGTGATTTGATGAAAGGTACCTTTCCAGACGGAGCTATCGACACCAGGTCATGGATGATGCTTGTTGGTATTTTGTTAATTCCTTTAGGTAGGTATCTTTATGAAGGTTTTTTCGAAGTGCAGAAATAATTTAAAATCCTGTTGAGTATGCTTAGTTTTCCAAGACTAGAAATTTTTGCACAATTATAATCTAGATTCTGTCAGATCTCAGGACAGTCGTTAGTTGAAGTAGTAATCACTTTATGTTAAACTATAAAAAAAAACAAAATTCTAGTTCGACAGGGATGGAAGTTTTTAGTTTTCAAGTTTTCGAAACTTTATTTGTTCCTTCATCAGACATACAGGGTGTTTCGCATAAGGCGCGACACAGAGCAGGGGCATGTAGGGGAATCAAAATATGGTGATTTAACGCAACTTACCTTTATACGAAGCTGCACCCTTGAAAAGTTGTAGGGTAGGCCTTGCAAGTGGAGTTTTAAATTTCAAAATAATCTCACTTATATTTGAACTTAGAAAAACTAAATTTGGTTGATAAGGGATAATGCACCATTAAAATGTGACAGAATTATTTAATAGAAAATCATCGAATTTATTATATCACCGAAAATTCAAAAGTTGGCTATGACTTTAAACGTCAAACTTGACGATCAGAAAAAAGTAATTTGATTTTAGTAATTGTTTGTTGAGTGTTTTGAAAAGGGCTGGGAAGTTTTCATTTAGCGAATAAGTTGAGATGCATTAGTGTTAGATTGCTGTGAATGACACTACAGAAGAAATGTTGAAGAATATTGGAGAAGATTTCCAAATCGTGTAATCCCGCATAGAGAAACATTTTCCAATGTTGAATAACGAGCTCGAGAAATAGGCAAGTTTTTCAGTAAAATTCGAGGACGTGGAACAAGACGAAGAACTTATTTTGAATACAATTGAAGATGACCCACATATTAGTACTAGAATTCTATCTCGACAAACCGGTATATCGCAAACTTCTGTGCACCGAGTGATCAGACGTAATCTACTAAGTACCCATATCATATCCAAAAAATGCAGGAATTGTTACCGATTGTTACCGAACGATTTGGTTAAACGAGTGAATTTCTGCCAGTTTACGGATGATGGAGCCCCTCTCACTTTTTAAATCAGTAGTATTCAAATAAATTGCAAGAGGAAATAATTGCCACAAGCTTGGTCTCCACGATCACCAGACCTCAACAAATGTGACTTCTTTCTTTAGGAAAAGTTAAAATAATTTGTACGTATATTCCTCGCTAGTTGCGTCTCGAGCAGAATTGTGGAATCGCATTACGGATAAATGCACATTCATTAGAAACAATCAGCGGTTATTGGATAGAGTAAACTTCAATTTTCGACGAAGAATAAATTTATGCCTGAGAGAAAACGGTGGTCATTTTGAATAATTTCTAATTGGTGCAAATTGTATTATTATCGCCACGGTAGCGCAGTCGGTCGAGAGTGCGGTGGCAAGCATTTCTCGGCTAGGCTTCCTACTCTGGTCCGGGTTCGATCCCCGGTGTCGGCACTGGCAATGTCGATGGATAATGGGTGTTTGTCCGCGTTTTTTCAAGTGTAGCCCCCTTTCGCACAAGCCTTTGGCTTTTGGATTTGGGGGTTGTCTCATTTCTGTGGTGTGTTTTATGTGTTATGTTATGTATGTTGTTTCTGTTGTTTAAGTTGTTTGTTTTTCTATTAAATTATTTTTATTCCAACTTTTTTCCGATCGTCAAGTTTGACGTTTAAATTCATAGCCAACTTTTGAATTTTCGATGATTTTAAATAAACAATACGTATTATTAGTTATTTGTTTTTTTTTTGAAAACGACAAAGTGTAAGAAAAGTTTTAGAATTAAATTCCCCATAAAATAAAGTAATAATTTTTTAAGTTTGTCAACGGGTTAAAAAATTCTGTCCCATTTTAATGGTGCATCATCCCTTATGAATCCTTTAAAATGCTTCAATTGAACTCTACTTACTGTCGATTAATTCTCTTGGTACACTCACACCGTGTACCAAATTTGTTTTTCTAAGTTCAAGTATAACTGAGATAGGTAAGTATAGATTTTTTTCGAAATTTGAAACCGCACTTTCCAGCACTACTTATAACTTCTCAGCTTAGTCGAAAGGTAAGTTGCGTTAAATCACCATATTTTGGATTCACCATCATCCCCCTGCTCTGTGTCGGTTCTTATGCGAAACACCTTGTATATTTAAATAATTTGTTGAAAAAATTTTAGTGAAATAGGTACCTACTAATTGAGAATTGAATTCGAGGTTATTTAATTACACATTTACTTGTAGATTTTCCTGATGTGTGATGAAGAAACAAATAAAGTTTCAAAGCTTGAAAACTATTAAAAAAGTAATACTTTTTTCCATGACTGTATCTCCGTCGAACTAGAACTTTGTTTCTTAAGAAATACAACAATTATTTTGTAAATCGATGACATTGAACAAAAATTCTGAAACAGGTCAATTTTTATTTGCCGTGCGTTCTGCGAAATATGTGTTTTACATATGACGTCATCTGTGTGGCAGTGATGACGTCACCGATGTTTTTTTAAATATAAACGTGGGTCATCAATAAGTTTACGTAGTAGAATTTTGTATAGTTCCAAAGAAAAAAATATAAAATTACAAAAAAAAATGTATTTTTAACAACCCCAGTTACAATAGATTTTTAAATTGACAAACCCCAGTTGTAATAGAGTGAAAAAGACGAGTAGTAAACTCTTCTTGCACTTGGTCTATAACTTCCGGAGTTTTTTGTGCCTTCTCCGTCCGAATGCGTTCTTTTATTGCATTTACTTGTGTATTTTGTGATCTATTTTGGTATGCTTTATTTTTTAAGTATCCCCATAAAAAGAAATCTTGAGACCATTCAATCGATTCTCTTAGCTGTATCCACCTATCTCGAAAAATGTCGTCTAAGTAGTTTCTTACCAATACATCAACTTTTACCAGTATTTTGCCTTGAAATTGTGAGAATTCTTGACAAATGATCTCAGCCCAAACATCAAGCTCTCCCTCTATACAGGGTGTTCTACAAGCTCTATGACAAACTTTGAGAGAAGTTAGCTGGGTTAATTTTAAACATTTTTTTTCTATGAACATAGGTCCGATTCGTTTTTGTTTAGAAGTTACAAGCATGTTAAAAAATAGAATTTCATATTTTAATCAAAGTAGCCTGATAAATAAAAATGATGGTTGCTATGATTATAAAAATTGTTCAAAATGTCCATTCTCGGCTCGAGTGCAAGCCTCACATCGCTGAACTAAAGATTCCGTCACTCGACGGATGAGGTTTGGATCGTTTCTTATCTGGTCAGTTGCATCCTGAATTCTTTCAAATAACTGCTGACGGGTAGTGATTTCAACATGGTAGACAAGTTGTTTCATAGTCCCCATAAATAAAAGTCCAAATGATTTAGATCTGGGGAACGCGATGGCCATGCTATTGGCTCTTGTTGATCTTATCCATTTATTCGGGAAATGATCATTTAACTAAGCAGTTAATTGTCACCCTCTATGTGGAGGTGTACCATCGTTCTGATACCAATAATTTTAACAATATTAAACTCTACGTCTCAATGAAATAAAAAAGGTTGTTTTCCAAAGTTCTATACAGATCTGCATTTAAAAGATGATTTAAAACATGTACAGGCAGTAAATTATTGTTGAAAATGCTTACCTAAACGTTGGCACTGAAACGTTGCTGAAATTGTCTTGATCTAATTGCATGCGGATTTTGTAATGCCCAGATATGTTCATTATGATTATTATTTATGTCGTCCCTAGTAAAACACGCTTCATCACACCACATGACAAGCGAAATGAATCTATCATTTTGTTGAAGAAATCAGCGACAGTTTATTTTAATGTATTCTATCGTCTGTTAAAATTAAGGCAGTCAAACTTCTAACACCCTGTATATAAAAGCAATATCTGCATACTGCAGTGTAAATAAATGCATATTTTATTTAGCACTTTACCGTTAAGTGTCAAATGAATATACAAAATTATTGTTATAGCGACCACCATTATTTTTATTTATCACGCTACTTTGAAATATGAAATTATAATTTTTAAAACGCTTGTAACTTCTAAACAAAAAGTTATCGGACCTATGTTCATATAAGAAAAAATGTTTGAAATTAACCCAGCTATCTTCTGTCGAAGTTTGTTATAGATCTTTTAGAAGACCCATAATTTTTTCTTTTTGATATTTAAAAAAAAATGGAATATTGAATTGAAATTAACCCAGCAATCTTCTGTCGAAGTTTGGTATAGATCTTTTAAAAGACCCATAATTTTTTCTTTCTTTTGATATTTAAAAAAAAATGAATATATTTGAATTAGCTTAATATCTTTATAACAGGGTAAAAAACCATTTCTTCTTATTTAATTAATTACCAGTAGGTACCCACTTACGATAACTAAATTTTCATATTTTATCATATATGTCTTATTTAAAATGAAATTGCATTTGTAAAAAGGTTTTTATGATTCGATTTATTTAGTCAAATTAATTTTTTTTTATGAAACTATCCAAATTTTTTACATTGAATTTTTAAAGTCTTATTAAGTACGTAATAAATTCATAATTTTGACGTTTCCAAAGTGCGAGATTACACTTAATTTGTGTTTATCTTTATTTGTCTTCTATAAATTTGTGCAATACAGAAACCAACGATAAAAGCATTCTTATTAATTAGTAATCATTTAGGAATAAAATAATAGATATTGTAAAATACCTATTTCTGTTTTCTAGCATTTCTAAAGTCCCTAAAAAGTGTCAGCGTCCTGTCATTTTGGTGCACTATGTCTCACATCTTCATCAATGCTGTTATTCTCGGCTACTGTCTACTGTACATAGGAGACTGGGGTTGGAGCAAAGTCAAGTGGACTCTGGATTTAGAAAATTTTCCAATCAGCCTGGGAGTCATAGTATTCTCCTACACGTCCCAAATATTTCTACCAACCCTTGAAGGCAACATGGAGGATCCTTCAAAGTTCCAGTGGATGCTGGATTGGTCTCATGTCTGGGCAGCGATATTCAAAGCGATGTTTGGATACGTTTGCTTCTTAACATTTCAAAATGACACGCAACAAGTGATCACAAATAATTTACCCTCAGAGGGATTCAAGGGATTGGTAAATATTTGTTTGGTAATGAAAGCGATTCTTAGCTACCCCTTACCTTATTACGCAGCATGCGAACTATTGGAGAGAGTTTTCTTCAGAGGAAAGCCAAAATCGCCATTTCCCACCATTTGGGCTTTGGACGGCGACTTGAAAGTTTGGGGATTGGCGTGGAGAGTAGGGGTAGTAGTTTTCACCATTTTAATGGCCTGTTTCATCCCGCATTTTTCGATACTCATGGGTTTCATTGGCAGTTTTACCGGTACTATGCTCAGCTTCATTTGGCCGTGCTATTTTCACCTTAAATTGAAAAGAAACGGGATGGATACAAGGACAATAGCTTTTGACTACTTCATAATTTTTTTAGGTTTCTTGTTTGGAATTATTGGTATATATGATAGTGGCAATGCTCTGATCAAAGCTTTCTCTATCGGATTACCATTTTAAGTTTATCGAAAATCCACTTGCAACATCGTGAGAGTGGAAACAAAAGATTCGTCTGAAATTGTCAACAAAGTCTTCCATTCAATTGATTAAAATCATGCCTTTATAAAAAAAATATTGGATATTCTCATTGTCTTCCAAATTACTGTTAATAACAAGTTATACATAGAAAACTATACATATTATATTTTAAGTATATAGCGCGTAAATTTAGACGTGTTCCATCAAGTACCTACATGGTTAAAAGGTATTTTTGGGGATGTAATTATAATTAAGAATTCTAATTTCACGTTGTATTCAATATTATGTAGATATCAAGACGGTATAAATACAAATATTAATTTGATAGTATTCGATTTTCCATTGCGAGGGAACCTTTTTCAATGATTAGATTTTACAGTTTCAAATTTTAGCTGGGAATTACGTCATATGAGTTCGATCTGATAAACCAGTAGCCACAAAATGCTAACATGAATTATTTTATTCAAAATTCTGCATAAATGAAAGAGTGCTTCCCAAAGAATTTGCATATTAGTTAAATATTTGTCGCAATGATTGTTGCAGAAGCAAAAGAAGCAAATTGTAAGCTAGAAAGTTAACATGCAGTAGAAATGCACCTTTTTTAATGTTATGTATAAAAATATGTATAGTGGAACAGCCAAATGGAACAAATTTAGTATCTCAATTATTTTGCACATTTGTAAAAAATCCCGAGACACGTTGATTTTGGATTCTGAAATGACATCCTGCAACGTAAAAATTTCATCCCTAAATTCAAACCCATTCGAATGGCAGTTACAACCCCTAAATTTTTAATTGGGAAGTAAAGTATTCTGATACCTCACTTGAAAAGTATTTTCATTCTCTATTCAAAAATACTATGGTTTTAATATTTATTGCAAAAATTAGCATGAAAAAATAAATTCATTGGTTTAACGAAATTCGCTACAGCAAACTAAAAAAAACTTAATTTCTACGAAGATTTTCAGAATTAGTTCCTTGAACGTCTTGGCCGCATCCTAATCGTAAATAAAAATGTCTTCTATCGTTTTCCAACATCTGAGGCGTGACCTAAACGCAACCATTATTTTTTCGATAAAATTGGCATTGCTATGAATAATTTTTGGATAAGTTTTTATATCTTCTTTTTAATTGAAAATATTGAAAAAGAACATTGAAATTGTTTTTGCTAGCCTGCAAGAACAAAACGCTGTTTTTGTATTATTTGTTTTTGAAACAAATTTCGTTAAGCAGGCCATGAATTTTTGCAATAAATATTAAAATCATAGCATTTTTGAATAGGCAATGAAAATACATTTCAAATGAGGTATCACAAGGTCCTACTTCTCATTTAAAAATATAGGGGTTGCAACTGCCACTCGAAGAGGGTTGAATTTGGGGATGAAATTTTTACGTTGCAAGATGTCATTTCAGAGTCTACGGGATGTCCCGGGATTTTTTATAAATGTGCACAATAATTGAGATACTGAATTTATGCCATTTGGCTGTTCCACACTATAAATATTGTATAATATTGCGATAGTACTAATAATTTTCACTTATAATCAGGATAATTTTTTGTGTTATTGGAAGATGAAAATGAAGTTCGATCATTTCAAGATTATTTTTATCGGACAGTATATTGTTTTAATAAAATATACAGATATTTCAAAAAGAGTCATCGGCATAAAAATCAGACTATTAGGAATGGGTCATATTCCTTTAATAGTAATTGAAGTGCAAAATACACAATTAGCAATGTTACGGTATTATTGTACGAAATTTTGCGACACTTGGTACACGCTCTTCCACAAGGGACACTCTCGTAGAATTAGAAAAATTATAATAAAATAAAAATAAATAAATTACATATTAAAGTACAGGAACCACATTAAGAACAGTTTTGTGTTAACAGCAGTCTGATCTATCAGTTTTTGGAATTGTTTAATTAATAAATTACTAGATGGTAACTTTTGGTGAAAATTTAAATTCAGTTTAATTAACTCCTTTAGGTATCCCAAAATCAAGTACTATCAAAATCTATAAGGAAAAGCAATAAAGATACGTATAAGGTTATGGTCATCCTCCAAATTCGATGAATATTGGGGATGATAATTCAAAAAAATTCGTTTTATCGAAATTATAATAGAGAAAATAGGTTTATAGCGCATTTTTTTTACATTTTTAATCATATTAAAAACTGTAAAAGCTCAGCAAATACATATTTTAATTAAGTTGAAAACAAGCACCTCTTTAATTCTTATTTAGTAAAATATTAGGTATTAAGGACTAATATCAATTACGCTAAATACAGATAGATATATAAAATAATTATTGAAACCATGTCTTCCATTTTAGTCTGTGGTAAATCAATGTATGTCTTCCGAAATTGTTTACAAATATTTGCTGTATTTGAATGTACTGTATTATAAAATACCTATTGTATACAAAACAATATAGGCCGTAGTTGGTAGTATGATGTAAATTTAATATAAATTTTTGTGCCAGTGTGAAAAAATCGCCACAATTAGCAGTAAGTTTTATAAATATGATTTTAGATCTGGTAGTATATTTGCAGTTAGCACTTTTCTAAATCTCATTTGTTTGATCATTGTCATATTTTTGAGATATATAGCCAATATATAAATCATTATTTGCTTATTTTCAAGTGTCTAATAAAGTATTTTCTATTTTTTGTTTGATCCTTTGATATTTGCTAGGTATTATAACTAGGCTAACACTAAGTACGTGTAAAATACTATATGTATGTATACCACGTATCTCATTTTAATTGATCCAAGTGAATATCTCGTGCCTCTGATCCAATAATTCAGTTCATTGGGGGAAAGTGGTAGCTGACCGTGACATTGAAGGTTAATTGAATGTCAACTTCATAATTTTAAATGGTGTCCTCTATTTTTTCCCTGGGAAAGGATTCGGCACACAGTTTTACATCCAGATGTGATCTCAACTTTGACCTTGCGGTCAAGGTCAAAGTTACCGCGCGTTCAAATGTTTCGTCACCCCTGAAGCAACCTCGGAATAAGATGTTTGCCCCCAAAGTCTATGGAATTTTCAACAAAATACTCAATTTGAACTGGACCTTGACCTTTAAGATCATTTGAAGGTCGACTCCAGAAATCGGACTAGACGACCTCTACAAATGTTTTTAAGGATGTTCGGGACCCTGCATCAGTGATCTTCGATTTAATCTTGAAGGTCATTTGAAAGTCGATATTTCTTTTTATATCGATACCTGTATTCCTGAGGCTGGATCCTGGAATAGGGGTAAATTCTACACCCGAGTACGTTGCAAAGTAATAAGAGGTCAAATTAAAAGTTAATTTGAAGATCAAATCAAGAGATAACCCTGGGATAACGAAATGAGTCGTTGACCACCGAGACATTTTTTTCGTCCTTCTCGCACTCATTCGTGACATTATGATTATAGTTCCTGCGATTGATAATATTTAACACCTGTATTTCATTAATCCATTGTTTTTCTAATTGCATATTGAGAAAATTTCCTTTGCAAAATTGGTGTCAATATTGCATCAACGTCGGAGTAACATTGAACTCGCTGTGACCTTGACCTTGATCACAAGGTCAAAGTTGCAATCACATCCGGATGTAAAATTATCTGCTGAATCCATTCCTAGGGTAAAAAATATAGGGTCCCATTTAAAATTACGAAGTTGACCTTCAATTGACCTTCAAGGTCACTGTTAAGGTTAAATTCAAGGTCAGCAACCGCTTTCCCCCAATGAACGAACAACTTTCATTTAATCTTATTTGGATCGGAGGCTTCACTGACGAGATATGCACGTGTATCGATTAAAATGGGACACGTGGCATACTTCATTTGTATACGTGTTCCTATTTTTATAATTCGGGTTTGTCAGTTTTGCATATGAAAATTTCAAAATAATTGGCTGCTAAACACCATTTAATTTCCTGTTGTATATTTTGTTCTTTACAAATTTCAAACTAAAATACCAAATAATTAATAATAAGTTTACTATGTTGAAAATAATTTGTTATTATTACATATTTACTTTATTTTGTCTATGGTACTTTTTACTATACCTACAGGGTGTACTTTCTTTAATATGGGAAGTTCAGCCTGTATGCTGTATGTAGTTGTTATTAATATATCTTGTTACATACAAATTGTTAATATAGTATAGTGTTTAAAGTAACCTAGTGTATTCATTTAAATATACCGATTTAACGATAAATCAATAATTCTAGGATTACTAGTTTGAAAATATGATTTAAAAGGCTATTTAACAAACGTAACCATATTGTATACGGACAGATTTTGATTAACTATCACAAAAGAATTACATATTGCTATTATGATTTTTTTTATGTAAATTGATATATTCAAGATAAATTTTATTATATTCCGTTGATATTACCAAACTGAGGAAAATTTAAATTCATTCAATAAAGAAAAAAATAGTAAATTTTTGTTTGTGTAGGTCTTACATGTGCTTCCCTTAAAATTTTATACATATCAATGTAATAAAAACCTTGTAATAATTCTTAGAGTAAATGAAAGTTAATATTATTGTCGTAAATTGTATAAATTGTGTAAAATCAATAAATGGTAGTCTACTATTTTTTTTAAATTACTTAACTATGCCAAGTAAATTTCTTCTTTTACTAATACTCGGAGATATATTATGGAGGGTTTCATGAGAAAATAAGCTTCACAGAAGAGAAATCGCACTTTTAGTAAGATAGAACATTATAAAAATATTGAAATACAAGGATTCTTTTAATTTTTCGCAATGAAAGATAACGGATAACATGGGCATCCCTGTAAACCTCGGAATGTACCTTTCCTGTTCTATCAAGAATATTGTAAAAATACTCAATAAATATGATTAATTATTATGTTAATACTTTCTTGAAATCTGCGGGGTGTGTTTGTAGTACCGTAGTGGATTTTCTGTATATTTAACAGGAGTGTACTGTTCAGGAAATGTAGTGATAAA